ACAGTTGGTCTATCAAATTTGGAGGATGAGCAGGAGCATTTTCCAGTACCAGGAGACACTTGAGTGTAATTTATTTTCCTGGAGGTATTTTTTTGCACACTCGGCCAAACACTTAACAGACCCAGTCAATGAAAATGTGCCTTGTGACCCATGCCTTATTATTAGCTTTCTACAATACACACAATTTACTCTTGATGACACTGTTTTTCTTGAACACTGGGATTTTCAGAGTGATACACCAGTAAAGGCTTCACTTTGAAATCCCAACTAGCATTACTACAGAACAAAGAGTTAATCTGTCTTTCATACCTGGAATTTACCTGGAGAGAGTTCCGGGGGTCAGCGCCCCCATGGCCCAGTCTGTGACCAGGCCTCCTGGGATCAGAGCCTGATCAACCAGGCTGTTACTGCTGGCTGCACGCAATCCAATGTACGAGCCACAGCCCGGCTGGTCAGGTACCGACTTTAGGTGCTTGTCCAGTGCCAGCTTGAAGACTGCTAGGGTCTATTGGTAATCCCCCTTATGTATGCTGGAGGCAGTTGAACAGTCTTGGACCCCTGACACTTATTGTATTGTCTCTTAACATGCTAGTGACACCCCTGCTTTTCATTGGGGGGATGTTGCATCGTCTGCCAAGTCTTTTGCTTTCGTTGTGAGTAATTTTCGTGTGCAAGTGTTCGGTACTAGTCCCTCTAGGATTTCCAGGTGTATATAATCATGTATCTCATCCCGCCTGCATTCCAGGAATGCAGGTTCAGGAACTTAAGCGCTCCCAGTAATTGAGGTGTTTTGTCTCCGTTATGCGCGCTGTGAAGGTTCTCTGTACATTTTCTAGGTCAGCAATTCAACCTGCCTTGAAAGGTGCTGTTAGTGTGCAGCAATATTCCAGCCTAGATAGAACAAGTGACCTGAAGAGTGTCATCATGGGCTTGGCATCCCTAGTTTTGAAGGTTCTCATATCCATCCTGTCATTTTTCTAGCAGCTGTGATTGATATAATGTTATGGTCCTTGAAGGTGAGATCCTCTGACATGATTACTCCTAGGTCTTGGATGTTGGTTTTTCGCTCTATTTTGTGGCCGGAATTTGTTTTGTACTCGATGAAGTTTTAATTTCCTCGTGTTTACCATATCGGAGTAATTGAAATTTCTCATCGTTGAACTTCATATTGTTTTCTGCAGCCCATTGAAAGATTTGGTTGATGTCCGCCTGGAGCCTTGCAGTGTCTGCAATGGAAGACACTGTCGTGCAGATTCGGGTGTCATCTGCAAAGGAAGACACGTGCTGTGGCTGACATCCTTGTCTATGTCAGATATGAGGATGAGAAACAAGATGGGAGCGAGTACTGTGCCTTGTGGAACAGAGCTTTTCACCGTAGCCACCTTGGACTTTACTCTGTTTGACTACTACTATTTTGTTCTGTTTGTGAGGAATTATAGATCCATCTACCAACTTTTCCTGTATTCCTTTAGGACGCATTTTGTGCACTATTACGCCATGGTCACACTTTGTCGAAGGCTTTTGCAAAGTCTGTATATATTACATCTGCATTCTTTTTGACTTCTAGTGCATCTAGGACCTTGTCGTAGTGATCCAATAGTTGAGACAGACAGGAGCAACCTGCTCTAACCCATGTTGCCCTGGGTTGTGTAATTGATGGTGTTCTAGATGGTGTGGCGATCTTGCTTCTTAGGACCCTTTCAAAGATTTTTATGATATGGGATGTTAGTGCTATCGGTCTGTAGTTCTTTGCTATTGCTTTACTGCCCCCTTTGTGGAGTGGGGCTATGTCTTTGTTTTAGTAGCTGTGGGACGACCCCTGTGTCCATGTTACCTCTCCATAGGATGGTAAAAGCTCGTGATAGGGGCTCTTGCAGTTCTTGATGAACATGGAGTTACATGAGTCTGGCCCTGGGGCAGAGTGCATGGGCAATGTCATTTATCGCCTGTTCGAAGTCATTTGGCGTCAGGATAACATCAGATAGGCTTGTGTTAACCAAATTCTGTGGCTCTCTCATAAAAAATTCATTTTGATCTTTGACTCTCAGTCTGGTTAGCGGCTTGTTAAAAACTGAGTCATATTGGAACTTGAGTTTTACCTGGAGTTTACCTGGAGAGATTCCGGGGGTCAACGCCCCCCGCGTCCCGGTCTGTGACCAGGCCTGAGTAGCTCACTCATTTCCTTGCTGTCATCTGTGTAGGACCCACTTGTTTAAGTAGGGCCCAATACTGGACGTTGTTCTCAACTTTGATTTGGCATAGGAAAAGAAATACTTTAGGTTTCTCTCGATTTCATTTATGGCTTTTAGTTCTTTTCCGCGATTCCTGACTCCTGTAAGATTCCTTTAGCTTAAGTTTTGATGTTTGCTATTCTCTGACCAGTGACTCCCTACGCATTTCAGATATATTGGCCTCTTTTAGCCGCCTGTCTCTTCTATTTTACATCTACTCCTCCTTTTTCTTAAAGGAATAAGCCCTGAGCATACATCGAGTGCCACCGAGTTAATCTGTTCTAGGCATAAGTTGGGGTCTGTGTTGCTTAGTCTGTCTTCCAAGCTTATATCGGTTAGGACTTGCTTACTTGGTCCCACTTTATGTTCTTGTTATTGAAGTTGAATTTGGTGAAGGCTCCCTCATGACTAATCTCATTATGTCGGTCTGGGCTCCGCTCATACATGTCTGAACCTCGATTATGTTTTGATCTGAGTATATTGTTTTTTGATATGGTGACATTTCGTATCAGATCATTATTGTTAGTGAAGATGAAGTCTAGTGTATTTTCCAGTCTAGTAGGCTCTTATTTGGTGGTTTAAGTTGAATTTTGAGCAGAGATTTAAAAGCTTGTGTGTGTGTGAGTTTTCGTCAGTGCTGCCTCCTGGTGTTATCACTGCAACAACATTATTTGCTATATTCCTCCATTTTAGGTGCCTTAAGTTGAAATCCCCCAGGAGCAAGATGTTGGGGGCAGGAGCTGGAAGATTTTCCAGACAGTGGTCAATTTTTAACAGCTGTTCCTGGAATTGCTGGGACGTTGCATCCGGAGGCTTGTAGACTACCACAATGACTAGGTTTTGGTTCTCGATCTTTACTGCTATAACTTCCACTACATCATTTGAGACATTAAGCAGTTCTGTGCAAACAAGTGACTGCGATATACAGGCTAAACCCCCCCCCCCTTTTGCCTGTTCACTCTGTTGCATCTGTATAGGTTGTAACCTGGGATCCATATTTCGTTGTCCAAGTGATCCTTTATGTGGGTCTCTGTGAAAGCCATGAACATTGCATTTGCCTCTGCAAGCAGTCCA